CATTAATTAACAATCATTATTTGAACTCAATGTAAAAGATGAATTTAATTGTAATATTATAATAAAACAAAGGATATTACTAAACAAATGTAGCAACGAACTATTATAAACCATACCCGCAGATAAGCTCCCTAAGCTTCGCGGGGTAAAATAATGGAATTGTGTAGTATTGTACTCCGGGGCGCACCCAGGAATATATTTTAGGGGGGTTTTATATTTCTGAATATATATCACCGGAAAATACTGAAAATTTGCTTCAGATAATACGCTCTTTAAAATACATTCATGCAAGTTTTATGTACAGTATGTAATAAATAAATAAACGTTTTAAAATCCATAAACTGCACTTTATTTACATGAGATTAACAGAAGTCAAACACTTTTAACCGACTTCAAAAAAAGAGGAGGTTATCAATACGCCGGAATACATAACTTTTGACCACGTGAACCGATTTCAATAATCCTTTTTTTATTGGAAAGATGGTACCTCAAGGGTCGTCCCGTAATTTGGTTTAGAGATCCGATGATTGGATCATGAAGAAATTAACGGTACCCCTAAATTTGAAGTCGGTTGTNAACTTCTTTACCAATAAATACGTTTATGGTAAAATTTTGGAAAATGGGCGTGGCACCGCCCACTTATGACCACANCGCGTGCAACTTTTAAAAGTACCTAATAAAAAATTTTAAAAGAGTCGGACTTGTGCACAAGGGTATATTAATTTTGTTCACATAACGGTTGTTTGTAACAGCCAAAACGAATCGAGATAGATATAGACAAATGTATACATAAATGATCAGGATGAAAAAAGAAATCGATTAAGCCATGTCTGTCTGTCCGTCCGTCTGTCCGTCTGTCCGTCTGTCCGTGTACACGATAACTCGAGCAAAAATTGAGATATCTCAACGAAATTTGGTATGTAGGTTTCCCTTAATCCAAGGTAGGTTGGTATTGAAAATGGGCGAAATCGGACTTTAACCACGCCCACTTCCCATATAACGGTAATTTCCAGAAATACGAAAACTGCGATATTTTAGTAACTACTGAAGATAATTCACTCAAAATTGATATTTACAATAATTTTTAGACGAAAAATAAGAATATTATAAATTTTTGGAAAATGGGCGTAGCCACGCCCACTTATGGTTACATGTGTATATCTTGGTAACCGCTGCACCAATTTCTTCCAAACTTGGCACAGTTGTTGGCCTTAGTACAGCATACTAAATGGCCGAAAATTTTTAAAATCGGACAATAACCACGCCCACATCCCATATAACGGTAATTTAGAGAAATACAAAATCTTCGATAAATAAGTAAATATTGAAGCTTATTTATTCAAAATTGATGCTTGCAAAACTTCTTTACCAATAAATACGTTTATGGTAAAATTTTGGAAAATGGGCGTGGCACCGCCCACTTATGACCACATATATGTAAATCGGTAACCGGTCTACCAATTTGTACCGAACTCGGTGTGGTTATTGTGCTTGCCACATATAAGCAAAACGTTCAAAATTATTGAAATCTGACTAAAATTACGGCCGCTCTTCATATAACGGTAAATTTCAGAAATGCCTGAAGCCTCCATATTTCGAAATTTAAAGACGGTAATTTACTCAAAATTGATACANAATCGGTAACCGGTCTACCAATTTGTACCGAACTCGGTGTGGTTATTGTGCTTGCCACATATAAGCAAAACGTTCAAAATTATTGAAATCTGACTAAAATTACGGCCGCTCTTCATATAACGGTAAATTTCAGAAATGCCTGAAGCCTCCATATTTCGAAATTTAAAGACGGTAATTTACTCAAAATTGATACACCCCGGCTTACCATGTAGCGGTTGCTTTCGGAAAGGTGAAAAAATATATATTTAATACTTGCGCCGGGTATTTAATGTTCGGCTCCGCCCGAACTTAGACTTTCTTACTTGTTAATATTTCGAATACCGAAAACATTAACTGAACTCTCAAGAAAAAGGAAAAATTCATATAAAACGACGGACGAGAAATGGAAAAGAAATTTTCTTCTACCAAAATTTCTTAAATCAGTTTGCAGCTCTCAAGAAAAAAATCCTCGTATATTTATTTCCTCATAGAAATTTACAGCAAAAACAAAGCGCTTTTTCAGGCAACAGAAATTATAATAAATATTTCTTATAATTTCCTTGAGAGCTGGATTCTTAGCTTTAAGATACAGTTTGATTTGAGGTTATTAGCTTTAGGGGGGGTTTGAACCCCAAAACCCACCCCTTGTCTGCGCTAATGATTGTACTGAATATTTTTTGAATAAATAAATAATAATAATAATAAATAATAAAATAATAATAATGAAATTTGTTCCTCAAATGAAAGTGAAGTCTCCTCGGATGGCTCCAGTATTTCGTTCATTGAAGCTTTGGCTGCTTGGTTTGTAGAATTCAATGTATCTAATGTGCATGCTAATAAATTATTAGCACTGTTGCATCGCAAAAGACATCAGAACGCTAAACCGCACGCCGACTGATGCTCCAACTGTCTCGATAGGAAGTAGAGAATATGTCCATTATGGCTTAAAAGACTGTCTAACATAAAGTAAACGCAAAGATATTGGACCTGAACTTTAACATTGATGGGTTGTCAATCTCCAAAAGTTCGCTGAAGAGCATGTGGCCTATTTTAGGTAACGTAAATGGGACGGATTCAGTTTTTATAGTCGCAATTTTTTGTGGACAGTCCCATCCCAACAACGTTAATAAGATCCTGGCAGAATTTGTAGAAGAGTTAAACGATCTGCTCGAAATTAGATTCATATACGAAAATAAAACTTTTACAATAAGATGTCGAGCATTTATTTTGGATGCACCAGCCAGAGCGCTTGTTCTCGGGGTCAAAGGACATGCCGGATATAGTTGTTGCGCAAAGTGCCGTCAAAGGGGCGAACGAAAAGATAATCGCATGATCTTTAATTATCAAAACCATTCTTTACGCACAAATTTAAATTTTCGGCAAAGAATTGATGTCAGCCATCACAATCAGCAAGAATTTTTGGAGATAGAAAAACTTCCAATCGATATGATTAAAGCCTTCCCTCTAGGTTACATGCACGTTGTATGCCTAGGAGCAATGAAAACTTTGCTTGTATCGTGGTTGAAAGTGAAGAATCGCAATTATTCTTTCAAACCAAATGAAATAATTAGCTGAACGAAGCTTTTTTATCTATTGCGCCTTACATACCAAGAGATTTCTGTAGGAAACCACGCGATTTTAAAGATTTAGATCTTTTTAAAGCAACGGAATTCCGTCAATTCCATTTGTATACAGGCCAGGTTATGTTAAAAGGCATATTAAGTGAAGAAAGGTACATACATTTCCTGCAACTTAGTCTTGCAATGCGAATTCTCCTCAATAAAGAAGATTGTGTACGAAATAATAAATGCGCCGATGACCTCTTAAAGGAATTCTTAGTAATGATTCCTGTTTTATATAATGATTTGCTCTTAACATATAACTTCCACTGTTTAAGTCATTTGGCAAGAGATTCAATGCAATTTGGATCAACTGAGACAACGAGTGCCTTCAAGTTCGAAAATAAACTAGGAAAACTTAAGAAATTAGTAAAAAAAATTTTCCCTCACAAATTTACAACAGACTAGTTAAGCAGAGTGTGCATGGAACTCAGCAAACAAACGTTGATTCCACCAATTCAAAAGTACGAAGCGATGGTTCTTACAAATTCGTTAAAACTAAAAACTTTTATTTATCATCTATTACACCTGACAACTTTTATTTAGTAAAAAATTGTATTTTTATTCTTCATTCCATTTCCAATTCTGCAGAAAACAAAATTGTTGTTCATGGTCTAAGAGTGCAAAACTTGTCTGCTTTATACGATAAGCCTCTACTATCAACGCATTTTAACAAATATAGTGCACAATATTTAATATTTAATGAAACAATTGAAAATCATTTCCTTGATGAGATAACATCGAAAGTTGTTTGCTTTCGAAAGTTCCCTGGAACTTCTTATTCATTTGTACCCCTCAAACCAGATCATGCAGTAGAGCGATTTTAATTACATTTCAGAAAACTCTGACATTCAACACGAGACCTCATCTTCACAAACGCTGTATCTGATACAACCAAGCCCAAGTACAACAACTTCTTTGGACAGTGCAACTTCGTCTGGTAAGTTATTTATTTACACATGTTGTTTGCTATTTTTAACATAAAACTTTAAAAAAGAAATCGCGAGCACTGTAATTTAGTATTTATTTTTAATTAGTTTTTTCTTTACGATAGCTATTCAATCATTTATCAATGACGCGTTTCAAAAAGCCATTGAAAAGGTGGAACAACGTAACAAGCTCATATTGCTCAGAGTTACGGAGGAAATTCAAGGGCTGCGTAAAGATGTGGGCGAATTGCGGAAAGCGGTATCTCATAATAACTCTACCATTTTACCAACCAGACTGTTTAACACCGTTGAAGATTTTCTTCAGTTTGAGAAAGCTGTTCAGGAAGATATAGATAAATTCTCCTTGCTGGTAAGAAACTAAAATCATTATCACTATGAAATGCCTGGTTACGCGCCCATTGTTATAAGCTTTAAAATGACGATTGCAAAACATATTTTTTAAGACACGTAATAACGCGTTTTGCAAATGTGTTAAGTAAACGTGTTATAATTAGTTTTTATACGCTTTCCCAAAGCTTTGTAAATACGGTTACAAAACACGCAATTTCAATGAAATAAATAAGCGTTTGAAACATTTATTTTGTGAATGTTGTATAGGTTTTTTTATTAGTAATATTTTAGTATTAAACAAAAATTAAAACTAAATTAAATTTAATTCGTGTTTTTTCAGTTCTTAGCTTTACTAATAATATTTTTCAAAAACTTGAGATCTTATAAACTTAAATTTACAGAATAAATAAACCAAGTTCATATTGTATTTTCATTCAAAAAACTTCCATTATTATAAACTTTATTTTATATAAACAAAAAACCAACTTACTTTATTTTGTATTTTCTTTTGGTGCTTTAATTTTAATAAGATTTTTAGCGTATTGGAAAAAAGATTTCGAGGCAAACACAAAATCCTCTTCCTTGCCTCCATTTTCGCAAGTGAAAGTTTCTGAAATAGAATTTAAATATGAATGTAAAAAGTTTATTATATATGTATGTACTGAATGAAACCGTTATTACTTACGACGAATGGCAGTGGCGACAGAGAAGGCTCTAATACACTTGTTGTCTACAGTACCTTTCCACGAAAAGCTTTCTGCAACTTTGTTATGCATAAGTTTTTGCCCCGATTTTGTAACAAATTTCCTTGAACTTGATGTTGACAATCGTTTTAGATCGGCTTTCTAAAAATAGAAATAAAAAAGAAAGTTATATATACAGTGAACCAGGCATTTCATAGTGATAATGATTTTAATTTCTTACCAGCAAGGAGAATTTATCCATATCTTCCTGAACAGCTTTCTCAAACTGAAGAAAATCTTCAACGGTGCTAAACAGTCTGGTTGGTAAAATGGTAGAGTTATTATGAGATACCGCTTTCCGCAATTCGCCAACATCTTTACGCAGCCCTTGAATTTCCTCCGTAACTCTGAGCAATATGAGCTTGTTACGTTCTTCCACCTTTTCAATGGCTTTTTGACACGCGTCATTGATAAATGATTGAATAGCTATCGTAAAGAAAAAAATAATTAAAAATAAATACTAAATTACAGTGCTCGCGATTTCTTTTTTAAAGTTTTATGTTAAAAATAGCAAACAACATGTGTAAATAAATAACTTACCAGACGAAGTTGCACTGTCCAAAGAAGTTGTTGTACTTGGGCTTGGTTGTATCAGATACAGCGTTTGTGAAGATGAGGTCTCGTGTTGAATGTCAGAGTTTTCGGAAATGTAATTAAAATCGCTCTGCTGCATGATCTGGTTTGAGGGGTACAAATGAATAAGAATTTCCAGGGAAGTTTCGAAAGCAAACAACTTTCGATGTTATCTCATCAAGGAAATGATTTTCAATTGTTTCATTAAATATTAAATATTGTGCACTCTATTTGTTAAAATGCGTTGATAGTAGAGCTTTATCGTATAAAGCAGACAAGTTTTGCACTCTTAGACCATGAACAACAATTTTGTTTTCTGCAGAATTGGAAATGGAATGAAGAATAAAAATACAATTTTTTACTAAATAAAAGTTGTCAGGTGTAATAGATGATAAATAAAAGTTTTTAGTTTTAACGAATTTGTAAGAACCATCGCTTCGTACTTTTGAATTGGTGGAATCAACGTTTGTTTGCTGAGTTCCATGCAGTGTACGAAAATAAACTATATTGTACGTTACTATTTCGTTTCGTTTATTACTTTAACAGTTCGGTACAATACGAAACAAAACGGCTGAGTTCACTTTGGCGATAGTACACTACAGTAGTTTAGTAGTTACAGACGAAACAACAAACGAAATGAATCGTGCAGGGAAAATATTTTTATGTATGTACATATATGCAATAAACAAATACAAAACGAATGGCTGCAATGAATAAAAAAAATAAAAATGTTTTTTAATTGAATTGGATATGAAAATTTACAGAAAAAATTATTTTTCACGTAATTGAAACGTTCGCATACATATAAAACGTACCCTATGGTACAATTGTCACAAACGAAAAGCAAACGTTTCTCGTTGGGGAAAATGACAGTGAATCTTACAATTTGTTTCTGACTATTTACAAAACTGTACAAAACCACAAATGATATGATGATCGATGAGCAAATGGGAATTGTTTTGTACAGTTTATTTTCGTACCCTGGTTCCATGCACACTCTGCTTAACTAGTCTGTTGTAAATTTGTGAGGGAACATTTTTTTTACTAATTTCTTAAGTTTTCCTAGTTTATTTTCGAACTTGAAGGCACTCGTTGTCTCAATTGATCCAAATTGCATTGAATCTCTTGCCAAATGACTTAAACAGTGGAAGTTATATGTTAAGAGCAAATCATTATACAAAACAGGAATCCTTTCTAAGAATTCCTTTAAGAGGTCATCGGCGCATTTATTATTTCGTACACAATCTTCTTTATTGAGGAGAATTCGCGTTGCAAGACTAAGTTGCCTGGCCTGTATACAAATGGAATTGACGGAATTCCGTTGCTTTAAAAAGATCTAAATCTTTAAAATCGCGTGGTTTCCTACAGAAATCTCTTGGTATGTATGTTCAGCTTATTTATTTCATTTGGTTAGAAAGAATAATTGCGATTCTTCACTTTCAACCACGATACAAGCAAAGTTTTCATTACTCCTAGGCATACAACGTGCATGTAATCTAGAGGGAAGGCTTTAATCATATCGATTGGAAGTTTTTCTATCTCCAAAAATTCTTGCTGATTGTGATGGCTGACATCAATTCTTTGCCGAAAATTTAAATTTGTGCGTAAAGAATGGTTTTGATAATGAAAGATCATGCGATTATCTTTTCGTTCGCCCCTTTGAAGGCACTTTGTGCAACAACTATATCCGGCGTGTCATTTGACCCCGAGAATAAGCGCTCTGGCTGGTGCATGAAAAATAAATGCTCGACATCTTATTGTAAAAGTTTTATTTTCGTATATGAATCTATTTTCGAGCAGATCGTTTAACTCTTCTACAAATTCTGCCAGGAACAGATTAACGTTGTTGGGATGGGACTGTCCACAAAAAATTACGACTATAAAAACTGAATCCGTCCCATTTACGTTACCTAAAATAGGCCACACGCTCATCAGCGAACTTTTGGAGATTGTCAACCCATCAATGTTAAAATTCAAGTCCAATATCTTTGCGTTCACTTTATGTAGCCGCAAAAAATCTGTTAGACAATCTTTTAAGCCATAATGGACATATTCTCCACTTCCTAACGAGACAGTTGGAGCATCAGTCGGCGTGCGTTTTAGCGTTCTGATGTCTTTTGGAAGGCCGTCAATTTTGCGATGCAACAGTGCTAATAATTTATTAGCATGCACATTGCATTCTACAAACCAAGCAGCCAAAGCTTCAATGAACGAAATACTGGAGCCATCCGAGGAGACTACACTTTCATTTGAGGAACAAATTTCATATTGTGTCAACAAGCAATCAAAATTGTTTCGCCTTCCGATAAATTCAAACTCTCTTGTTCTGGACGTTCAAACTCGTTCCCTACGGAACTGCGTGCCCCACTGTTCTATAAATGTTGGAAAACGTCGTTGCTCCTTCGCACAACACTTCTCGGTTTTTTTTTTGCTGCCGACATTATATAAAACAAAAAAAACGCACTTACTTTTTCACTTCACTTTTTCACTTACTTTATATCAGTACAAATTCAATATTTTCACTTCTTTACTTTTCAGAAATCAAAACTAGAATGAGTTATACAAATTTATTGTTTGATTGCGCTGAAAAATAACAGTAAATCTAGTCGACATTTATAAAACGGTTGCATTGCCAAGCAAAATCTAAACGACATTCGCAAAACACTTACAATACCAAATATTTTGTAAATGTCGAACTTACAACGCTTGCAAAAGCCTTATTCATGTAAGCTTAATTTAAGCTTGGTTTAAAACGCTCGCAGTAGCCTATGTAAGCAAGCTTATTTTAAGCTTGATTTGCAAAACGATTACCAAATTGTTTGCTGGGATGGTCGGCATACAAGCACATTCGAACAATTCAATAGCTCTGATCCAATACTTTTCGTGAAAAATCCTGTAAAACTGTCAAACAGCAAAATTACTCTCTGAAGTGAGAGTAAAAAGTGAGTAACAACAAAAAGTACGGGAACAAAAAAAACATTTTTCCTGTAAAAACGTGATTGCTCGACACTTTTCATGGTTTTACCAGAAGAAAAAGTTCGGGTAAAATCTTGCAACTTCATTCTCTACACAACTCTCCAAAAGTCGCTCTCATTTACACGATTTTGGAAGATTTTGGAGTACGGGAACATTTTTCCTGCAAGTTCGTCTAAAATCCTGTAAGTTCATGAGGTACTGGATCAGAGCTAATAAGTGGGACTGTATGTGAACACACATGTGCTCAGAGAGTGCTCAGCATTCTTAAGGGGTGGCTCACAAGCATGAATATGTTCCGATCTCAAACCAAATCGTGGTTGCCTCAACTAAGATTTGGTAACTTTGACTAAACCATGTGTTGAAAGAAAGCTTATCTGCATTAGCAGAGCTTAATGACATCCTTTTATGAACCATACGTTAAGTTGAATGGAATTTGTAGAAATATGCTTCAAAAAAATGTTTATTAGTATTTACCAAACCCTTCAACTAAATTTACGATTTGGAAAAACCTAGATGAATATTAGAAGCTTTAATATATTTAGTTATAATTATCAACCCATGGTATTAATTCCCAATCCTTGGTAACAGTTCCCAAATATTGTCAAAATTCGGGAACTAAATATCTTTAGTTGTCGAAACTAATCCTTTTTCTCAGTGTATGTTTGGATTTTTGAAAGAAGCGGTCAATAAAAAAGTAAGATCTGCTAGGGTGGATACTAGAATAACAATCTGGCACTACTTCGAGGAAAGCAATATTCCAACAGACACCGATCCATTACAATATTGGCGGGTAATTACTGAAGCGTTTGATACTTTTTTCATGTACAAGTGCGCTTAATTCAATTCAAAGATATCGGATTCAAAATACGATGCTTTAAAACACTGTGCTTTGAAATACTTAAGCATTCCCGCTACTTCTACTGAATCGAAGCGTATGTTCAGTAGAGCCGGTTGAATCGCTTCTGAAAGAAGATCGTCTCTGAAGCCGGATAACTTAAATATTCTACTCTTTTTGGATGGGTTTCGGATCACGAATACAGTAAGTCTGACGTACGCAAAAACGAAGTACCTTATTTTCCTCTCTATGTAAGGAGCTAAAGAATTCAGCTCCGACGATTTTTTTTTTAAGTATTATTTTTGCTAAGTGTGAAGTTTTTCTTTAAAGTCAGAATTTAGTTTTGAAAATAAACCTTGTTTTTTAATAAAAAGTTAATTTTTACTACACCTTTTAAATTTATTTCTTTGAAGCAGAAAAATAATATACGTCATTCCGTTTTTTCCTTGTTAAACTGTCGAAGGTGCCTCTGTCCGGCTGACATCACCGCCATCCAAGAAATGCGTTGGACGGGGCAAGGCAAACAATGTCTGGGGCCTTGCGACGTCTACTACAGCTGCCATGTAAAGGAGCGCAAATTCGGAGTTGGATTTGTGGTGGGAGAGAGACTCCGTCGCCGAGTACTGTCGTTCACCCCGGTGGACGAGCGTCTAGCCACAATCCGCATCAAAGCGAGATTCTTCAACATCTCGCTCATCTGCGCCCATGCCCCGACGGAAGAGAAGGATGAGGCATCCAAGGATCTCTTCTATGAGCGCTTGGAGCGCACGTACGAGCGCTGCCCCCGTCATGATATCAAAATCGTGCTTGGCGACTTCAATGCCAGGGTGGGCAAGGAAGGGATCTTTGGAACCACCGTCGGAAAATTCAGCCTCCACGACGAAACGTCCGACAACGGATTGAGGCTGATCGACTTCGCCGGGGCCCGAAACATGGTAGTATGCAGTACTAGGTTCAAGCATAAAAAGATCCATCAAGCTACCTGGCTGTCTCCGGATCGAAAAACGAGAAACCAAATCGATCATGTTGTGATAGACGGAAGGCACGCTTCCAGTGTTTTAGACGTACGCACACTCCGAGGCCCAAACATCGACTCGGACCACTATCTTGTTGCAGCCAAGATACGCACCCGCCTCTGTGCAGCAAAAAATGTGCGCCCAAATATGCAAGGAAAGCTTAACGTCGAAAAGCTGCAATCACAACAGACAGCCAGCGCTTTCGCTACTCGACTCTCACACCTGCTCTCAGAGAGCACTCTTCAACAAACCGACATATGCGAGCAGTGGAACCACATTTCCCGCTCATTAAGTACCCGAACCGAAGAAGTAGTTGGATTTCAGCGAGCCCGAAAGAACAACTGGTACGATGAGGAGTGTCAGGAAGCTGCAGAGAAAAAAGATGCCGCCTACAGGGCCACGCTGCGATCGGGCGCAACGCGCGCTATGTGGGACCGCTATAGGGATCTGAAGAGGGAAGCGAGACGTATTTGCCGCAACAAGAAGAG